GTCTGTGTGTGTATCTATCTGTTTGGAACACTATTGAAAACACCAGGAGAGCTAAAACATGCACAGTCATACGGAAAACGAAACGTGGAGTCACATAGAACATATAGTAGGAAAGAGTCTAAAGCCGGGAAAGTACACACAATAACATGACGTTATTGATTCTCGAATAAAAGTTGAATTAAAAATCCAATGCCGAAAAAATACACAATAGTAATGGCGTCATCGATACTCTACAATAAAAACATTTTAGCGCCTAATTCATGTGTCTAATCTTAAAATTGTTTTGCGGGCAGTTTCTTTCATGTATCTCTTCAGGTAGGGGCAAAGCCCCCTCCCCCCCCCCCCCACCAATAAAATATAATTTATATAGAAAATATATACTTTTACCAGTGTCGGCCTTCCCCGCCCCGAACAATTTTATTAGCCTTTGCAAAAAATCAAGTGCCCCACCTCCGGAAAAAAGTCTGAAACAAACTGTCTGCGTGAGTGAGATTTATCGGCCAAAAGTAGGAAACAGGTCCATATTATAGAAGTAGGTTCTATCTTTAGTCTGTGTGATCTAAAAATGCAACCAGTGTTTCTTTCAGACCTTTTCCTCACCGATGGGGGGGGGGGGGGGTGTTACTTGAAATTTCCGTGGGTGGGGTGGACTAAATTTTTTGGGGGAGGGCGGACACAGGTGAATTTATTTTTACTATATGTAAGCCCTGCTAGGGGGGGATACCTAAAATCTACCCTTCTAGGCTTAACCAACTAATCTGTCCGGTCAGTGCAAGCCCGGCTAAACCCAGGCTGGTTAATAACCTAACCTTAGTCTAAATTAAAAACAAAAAAACGTTTAACAATTTAATAAAATTTATTTCATGGAACCAAAATTATATAAATAAAAAATAGATTAACAAAACAGAACTTTAACGTAACAAAACACTGTAACAAAACAAACATTTTACAGCAAAGAAAACATTACGTTTGACCATTTGATGGTGTTGCGCCGACTTATGATGTCTAGGATGGTCCAGGCCCTGACACACAGTAACCTCCCTTCATCCATTCTCGACATCCAAAAGTCCACACCAAACAAAACACAACGTAAAACCACTACGTACAATAAGTTACGTACAAAACAATACGTACACAACAAACTTTTTACACCAAACAAAACAATTCATATATAACAAAACACCCAGCCAAGTTGCCCAAGCAACCTCACTCCAACGCACAAAGCGCGACCACAGAAGCTGACCTGACCTACATTCTGGCGGTCAAAAAAAAAGGAAGAAATTATCCGAGTGGTCAGTTTATATACTGACCACTTCGGACGGAAGGGGGACCCCGTGGCCTTTTTCCCCATTGGACCACCATGCACTCCCAGATTCGCAACAAATAAAATTAATACAAAATAAATAATCCATTCACCCGCTCACATATAACTATTATATTTCTTTGAATGGGGCGGGGGGGGGGGGGGGGAGATGAGGGAGGGCTGGACGGGTGGCAGGGCAGAGCTCCTCCTTATCAACCCCCCCCCCCCCCCAGGTAGAGTCGCCTGAAAGAGAATCTAAATGCGACTTTTGTTATGTTTGAGATTAGGTGCAAGGTTTAGGGTATGGCAAAGACTATATTTAATATCAATGTGCAGCAACTACTTGTTGATCAAACTAAAATTCGATTAAAATGCCGATTCTGGATAAAAATCCGTTTTCAATTACATTTTTCGTTTCCGGTTAAATTTGAAGTTGAGGTGGTGACTTTGGTTTTGGGCCCCCAAAAAGTTTTAGCCCGAGGCCCCGCCCAAGCATAATCCACCCCTACCGACGTAGAGGAAACTTACTACTCTCCTTTTGTAATGTTTTATCATAATCTTATCCTGAACACTAACTTTACCCATAAGCTTAACCTTTTTTATAACTTTGAGGTTATCCCTTTTTTTATCCTTAAACTTACACTTAACCCTAAAACTGTCTCTATACTTAATCATGCATTTAAAATCATCCCAAACTCTAAATGCATCCTAAACTTTAGACCTATATTTAACCTTAACCTTCCCCTAACATGATTGTTTAGAACGGGCAGGCAGTGACGTCATTTATTGATCCGACAAGGGACACAGTCCAGGCTTGCTGTGCTATTGATTTTTCTGCTGTGCGCCATCCGTGTAGGTTTGGCTGTCTGTGTCATGTGTACTATGATCAACAAACGCCTGTCATCGGTCTATCGATTCAAATGATTGCTGCATTCGAACAGTCCTTGATTGTATGGACAAACCCAGTTGACAGTTTATCGACCGGTGGACGGCACGCCGTCATGTCTATGCTTGTCTCGTCCGGTTGATTCCAAATATTTCCTCGATGTCTGCAGGTATTTTCCCACTTTTCCCTTTTTCATTTCTTCTTCAGTTTTGCAAATCGTTGAATTTTAAGCTTTTTCGCATAATTAGATATTTTGATCCTGAACAACAAAATGTCTGGGTCTGGGTTGGATTCAATTCAAAATGCCTTAT